GTTGAAGACCAGCACTTGGACTACCAATCACAATCAAAACAATGTAGGACCAATCTGTATTCACAGTGTATGTGCACAAAACAGGTATAAATCTGACCTGAAACCAACTAGCAAACACAACAGCAGCAGTCCGTACAGTTCTCACCCCTTAAGAGAGTTCGAAAACCCCAAAACGATCTGAAAATCAGCTTAGAAGCAGGTCTAATATGCTTAGCAGAATTAGGGTTTTAATCAGTCCTTAAAGAAAAAATTTCAGTTGCACATTCCAATCAGTATCGTACAGATAGACTTGTACAAGTCTTCAACAGCTGCTAAACCCTCTAGCGATCTCCAAGAATCAATCCACGAACTCCATTTTCTCAGTTTCCAGCCCTAGGAGATTCTCATGTGGTCGGCTAGACTAGACTCACATGAGAAACCCTAACCTTGCTTTGATACCAAGTAGATGTTCAAGACTGCTATCTGCCTTGAACCCTAATAGATTTCAGGTTCGAAAATAGGAGAAAAGGTATAGAGGAGGGAGGAGAAAGAGTAGAGAGAGAGCAATAGAACACAAGAATTGAAAGGAAGGATAAAATCTGAATAATCTGCCGCCGCCACTTCTATTTAGTATTTAAAGGTTAACCTAGTTACATGAAAAGGACAAATCTGCCCTTGGTATTTACATAACAAATAAAACAATATAAAACTGAAATATAAATAACAACTAGAATAACAGATTGACCATCAGCCAACCCTAGGAGCACATTCTACCCTACGGACAGAGTGGGACCATAGATGTGGGGCCCACATCAGTGTTCTCTACACTTTTATTAGGATTTTAATTTTGCCATGTAAGCAGTCTTATCCTTACTTCAAAATTAATATAAATAGAAGGGGAGGGGGCAGATTAAGCATCCTCTTCTTATACACCACAGCTTGGGCTGTCAGTAGTCTCATACGACTACATCAGCCACTTAAATTTTCTTTTTTCATTGTTGTAATTGCATATCCTTGAGTTATCCTCTTTTAACCAGTTCACCACAACTTCAGAGTCTCCTTCAATGATCAGCTTACTAATTTGCAACTCCTTGACTCTTTGTACCCCTTCAAGAGCTGCAAATATCTCAGCCATCAAATAATCTCCTTCCCCAATTGGTCCTGAAAACATAGCTAACAGATTCCCATGTTCATCTCTTATTGCTCCCCCTATTCCAGATGGTCCTAGATTACCCATACTGCTGCCACCAAAATTCAGTTTAATAAAGCCATTAGGTGGAGGAATCCAGCAAGAATTTGATGCCTTCTTAGCTGAAGCTAATTCTGCAATTTCCTTCCAATTTTTTAACATCTCATCTACTGAGAAATTTGCAAACAATGCCAAAGTTTTCAGCCAATGTATCACCCTAATATGAATTACCTCCAAAATTACTTCCAAGCTTCTCTCCTTTTCTTAGAAGATCTGTGAGTTCTTCTCCTCCCAAACAATCCAACAAACTGCAGCCCTCATACATCTCCACATAATCTTGGCCCTTTTTGTTGGCCCACTCAGCACGTAACTGAATAAATTTTGCACATTCAAAGGAGGGGTCCACCTGCACCCAAACAAAGAAGTACACCATTCCCAAATGACTTTAGTAAACCGAGAGGAAATCAGTAAATGGTATTTAGACTCACCATCAGCTTTACAGAGAGCACATCAATGAGGACACAAACATCTATTGGGTCTTTTAAGTAAATCAATTGTATTAACTCTTTCTAGAAAGGCTTCCCAACAGAAACTCCCAACCTTAGGGGGTATAGGAAGATACCACACCTCTTTAACAGGGAATGACAGACCCAAAGAAGGAGGTTGAGTTAGAGCTTTAAAGAAAGAAGCACATGTGAAAGAACCAGAGGGGGTAAGAGTCCAAATTCTACATCTATGCCTTTTTTAATCAATAATAGAAATTCATTATTATTATAAAAAAGATAATTACAAGATTAAGAGAGATAAACTTTCTTAACTCTCCACAAAGAAATTTGCCATTACAATTGAGCCCAAAACAATTGATTCCTTCCCACCCCTTGTTTTGCTAAAACATCAGCAAGCCCATTTGCAATTCTTTTAATCCAACTGAATTTCACATCCATATTTTGTGTCAACCACTTGAATCTCTTCTTTTCATTATTAAAAACCCAGAATTCCTTTCCTTCCTTTTGCAACTACTCCACTATCAACTTTGAATCATCCTCTATAATCAGCTTTCTTACATTCATGTCCTTTGCCTTTTGTAATCCCTCCATAACAGTCATAACCTCAGCCCTTAAGAAGTCGCCTACTCCAACTGTTTCTTGACTGCCCAACACTCTGCTCCATACAATATAGCTGGCCTTACAACTGTTTATAGAATTTTCCTTTCAATCCAATCAGTATTCACCTATCACAGAAATATGTAAAGTACAAATACATACAAAATAATACAAAGTACAAGGTTTTGCACTCTACATATTTGTATTTGTACTCTTTCCAACCTGAGCCTTACCATCTCTAAAAATACCACCTACACCTAAACTACTTGAGATTTCCAAAGCTACATCAATCAAAGTTGAGCTTTATATAGTTTATGCTGATGTGGAATTAGCAACTATTTGCCATCCTCTTACAATATCCTCAATTGAGAAGGGATCGAAAATCTCCATGGATTTTACACAATGAGCCACTTTGATCATATGTATAGTTTAGTCTGCTTCTCTGATCAAATATATATATATATATATATATATCAGTAACTCATAAAAGGAATTTATTAATTTTAAAAGAAACCAGAGAAACAAGACATAGTAGAAAATACAGAAGACACCAAGTGTCTAAACCCCCAAAACGTATTACAGCTGAGCCCAAAACATACTCTGTCTCTGAACCCCTTGCTTAGCGAGACCATCTACCAGACTATTGGCAGATCTTCTAACCCAATTAATCTGAATATAAATGTCCCTAGAGAGCCATTTGAAATGCCTAAGAACATTCCTCATATGTTTGATTTTATTTTTAAATTTTCATTTGAATATGCTTTACATGTTATATTTATGTACTTTAATTTTAGATAATAGGTTTTTTAAACCATTAATTTTAAAATTTAAGTTTATATTTCTTATTAATATTATGTTTAATATTTTATACTTTTTTTAATTTTTTTGGTTTTTTTTTAATTTTCTGACATTTTTTATTTTTTAACAATTTTATGTATTTTTGCGCCTTGCTTCAAAAAGGCACGCGTCTCAGGTGCAAATTGGCCCTTGCACCTTGCACTTTTAAAACATTGAGCCTGCCTCTTTTATTTGTACAACTGTAATTACAAGGGCTAAACAATCCTTGCAAGCTAACAGGAAGAAGCCATCTGCAACCAAAAAATGTAGCAAACCAATCCCAAATAAAGCCAACAAAGGGGCAGGAGACTAAGAGATGAAATGCAGTCTCACCATTTAACTTACATAAGCAGCACCAATTAGGGGACAAACACCAGTTTGGTCTCTTCCTTTGGAGCTTATCATGTGTTAATGCGGCCACGATACACTTCCCAACAGAAAGCACCGACTCTAGGAGGAATGAGGGAACACCAGATTTCCTTAACAGAGAAAGAAGGATAATGGGAAGATGAGGAGGCTACAAGTGAATTAAACAAAGATTTACAAGTGAAGAGCCCAACATGATTTAGATTCCACACCCCCATCCCCAAGAACCACAAATTCAGCAATGTAAGTAGAGCAGACACACTGGGAATTTCAGATTCTCTGAGGTTTCAAATGAAACCCAAGTTCCAATTCAACTCAAGAGGGGGACTAATAAATTCTGACACTGGTCTACCTTTGAGATTGGAAAGAGTGAAAAGGGAGGGAAAAGTCTCCTTCAAAGTGGACTCCCCGAGCCAAATATCTTCCCAAAATCTAATCTTCTAACCCGAGACGGCGAGACCAAGCCATACCTGATGTGGTTGAGGAAGATAGGAAGAGTCATGGATGGATTTCCAAGGATTAGCTCAGTGTCCATGGTAGCTCTATGAAGACAGACAGCTATTGTGAAAATCATATCCACATGAAGGTTTGTAATACCATTTATTCTTGTTTTATTATTGTAAACCACCATTTTGGTGAGGATTTGAGTTTGAGCCAAGAGGGTTTTCTCTTGGTGATGGCATCTTCTAGTTGCTACTAGAGAAAAACGCATTGTAATCCCATTATTGCTGTTATAATGGAGATTTTTTTAGGTTAGTGCCCCGTGGTTTTTCCTCTTCACATTGGAGAGGTTTTCCACGTTTAAAATTTGTGTTGTATATTTGCTTTTTGTTGCTTTGATGTTGCCTGGTTATTTGTTGCTTATTATTGCTTGTTGTTATTCTAGTTCCATTGAGATTTAGGTCGGTTTGGAATAAGCTATTTCGTACTTGGGTTGTATATTGAGTGACTCCAGAATACTTTGTTTTATCACTAAAATAGCATATTTTGAAGGCAAAAACAGAGCATTTCACAGATGACGCCCAAAACTGGTTTTAGATTGCTTCCAAGTGTTTTATTAACCATTTCATTGTGTTTTTGGGGCCTGTTTAGCAGAAACTACAGCTATCCAAGTAGCTCTGAACTTGGCCAAGTAAATTGGAGCCAATCAAAGGATCGTGCAAACGGACTATATGGTGGCTATGTGCTTTGAATGGACAGTTTAATAGTGTTAACTGGAATATTAGACCTCTACATGATAGCATTTTGCATGGCTGCTCTTATTTTGAGGTATGTTCCTAGGCAAGCAAGTCAGGTGTCTCACACTCACAGGTTAGCCTAAGAGGCTAAAGTGATTATTATACATATAGATTGGTTGGATGAACCTCTTTTTTGGCTTAACAAAAAGAAAAGTAAAGAAAAGAAAAGAGCGAGAAGAATGAGTAATCCTTAGTAACCAAAGTTTTACAGAGGTAAAAAAAAAAATGGAACCCTTGTTTTCCGCAAGTTTTAACATGCCGAAAGAGAGGGGAGAGCAAGAAACTTACACCCATTCGCTTCCCCTTTCCCCCGGCCAGAAGGACAACCGAGATACTTCTGTCCTTCACATTCTCAGAATTCTGCAAAATTTCCCCAACAAACGAAATACAAGGAATAGAAATTAGAAAAACAGACTCTTGTGAAATGCTGTAATAAGAAGATAAATCTCAATTCTCGTCCTTTCCGAACTTCTAACCTGAATTGCTTCTCCGGTTTTCGCATAACAGGAGATTCTCACGTTTCTACCAAATCTGGTTCTACGACCTAAAAGGAAAAGAAAAAATGAAAGATATTTTCTCAGATAAAATTCGAGATTTCGAAATACCAAACGTACTATTTTTCTTCTATTTGAAAGCCAAACAGAAAGAAAGAGGTCGCTCTTGCCAGGAATTTGATGATGAAATTGCAGATACTGTGATCGAAAAAGGTTAGAATTCCGACGGAATGAGAGGAACTCAATGGATTGGATAGGAATGTGGGGGTCTGCAGCAGCGAGAGGATAAGAAACCGAGACATGGACTCGCAGCGCCATGGATGAGAGTAGACTGAGAGTGTAGAGTGTAGAGGAAGAGCATAATCCCGTTTCGGTGTTGTCTTTTGTCTGAATTTCGCTGGTATCGGACAAGACTACCACGTGGTGCATTTGCAGTGGACAAGACTAGCATGTATTGGAAACATCTCCCGATGATACAATACACGGGGATGTGCTGTGGGACTCACAAACGAGTCCGGATCTCCCATCTACGACATCTCTACCACATCTATTCACGTGAGATCGCAATCATATATGGAGAATATTTCACGCTTTACATGGTGTTATGCATGGGGAGATATTCCCACGAGGAGATGTTGTTTTATGTGTAGGTACGGGCAGAATTGTCATGGATAAGAGATCTGGAATCCCCACAAACGCCTCATATGTCAGTGGGATGCTGTGGGGCGTAGACTGGTGTATGGGTATGACACACCAAACATCATCCAACATCCTCGTTTCCTCCTGATTTCTGTTTGATTTTCATTTTTTATTTTTCAAGCAAGACAAAAGAGCATAGGGTTTGAATGCAATGGACCCATCCATAACTAATTTTCAAGAAATGGTCCTTGGGATAATTGAGAACACCGATGAGCCAATTTGTACGGCCCAATTTAAAAGCGGCCATGTGGCCCTAAATGGAATGTCTAAGGAAATCCAAAGGTCACTCCAGTCACTGAATTGGGGTCTTCTCCTCATGTAGTGTTTCTCCTACCAATTTCACAGCCACATCCCACCATGTATTGGAATATCTCGCCATGAATGATAAATACAAGTATAAGAGATATTCCTGATATGCAGGTAGAACATGTTGTGAGGTCTGTGTGAAGAGCGGTATGTGAGGAGCAGATCTGGACTTCCAACCACTAACTTGGCCAACTAATCTCAATTGGATGCTTTCAACGTGCCAAGGTAAATAAAGACAACCTTCAAAAAGCTTAGGTGGCATTTGATAAATCTGAAATTTTAGATCTAAAAAGTTAGAAAGATATTTTGTCTGAAATCTGAATAGAAGCGTATATACTTTTCTACTTTTTAGAGGCTCTGAATCCATAAGTTTATTTGTGTTGGATTAACTATTTATCATTTGAAATTTACTTATTTTATTATTTTACCCCTAGAATATACTATTTGGAAATGTTGAGGTCAATTTGCATTTTCATAAAAAAATAATTTTCAACCTCAAAATAATATTGAAACAATACAAATAATAAATAATAAATTAATAATTAATAAATGAAATGATTAAAATTAAAAAAAAAAATTAATGACTATAAAAATATTAAAATAATTAATAATTTACATAAATAAAAATCCAGATAATTTTTAAAAAAATAATGAAATAATTAAAAATTACTAGTTAATAAAAATAATTAATAAATAATAAATAACACAAGTAAAATTAATAAAAATAAATTAATATTTGACAAAAAAATAAAATAATTATTAATTAATAATTAGTAAAAACAATTTATAATTAATAATAATAATAATAATAATAATTTTTTATTATTATTATTAGGGAGAGATAGAGAGAGAGAACGAAAGAGCGAGAGAACCACCGCTCCAAGTTGCAATGGCGATGGAGGGAAGACAGGGTGGAGAGAGCGAGAGAGCGAGAACCACCACTACAAGTTGCAGCAGCGGTGGCGGGAAGATAGGAGAGAGAGAGAGAGAGAGAGAGAGGTCGAATGGGGAAGGGTATTTTTGACTTTAGGCTGCGTCTGAACGCATTAAGTGACAGGCCTGAGTTTTAAAATTTCAGATTTGAAAAAACTTTTCAGATCGTATTTCAGATGCAACACCAAACAAAGGTAGTGTCTGAAAAGCAACATTTTTAGATTCAGACATCTGAAAAGTGCAATCAAACGCCACCTTAGACTAGGTCTGGCAGCCATCTTTCAATAGAATTCTTCGGTAAACATAGCACTTCCTCATCAAGGTCTAGATAAAGATGACCTCTAAGAAGCTCAAACTAGGCCTAGTAGTCATTTCTCAACAAAATTAGGATTTATTGGCAAATACAATACTTATGTAAATAGGTGGGACACTACCAAGATAAGGTAGGCACATTATAGCCCACTTTTGCCCCCATTCCTCTTTTTATCTTCCACTAGTAATTAAGCACATGCCTTGCATGTGAGAAAATTTTCTTCATATTAATTACTTGAATTTTAGATATATCATAGTTAAAATAGAAATTGAAAATTAACAAAAGTAACAATATGATTAAAAATAAACTTAAAATATTTGTTATTCTATCATGGATCTCTTGAAAAAGTTGGATCATTGACTCACCATCTAGATAAGAAAATAGCATTGCTTTTGGATTAGTTTTAAATCAGGGAAAATTATAGTTAGAGCCAGTTGTACATTTAAAATTAGGCTACAAGTTGGTTCATAAACCAACATAACTCTAACAATTGACTCTACATTTCAAATTATAAAAGCCCTCGCTATGTCATCAGAGGCTTATGTGGTCGTTTTCAACATAGGACTCTTAATCCATGTTGGACACAACAAAAAGCTTATAATGAAATTGCCATTTAATGTTGGGTGATTGAAAAATAAAAAAAGGGTTTTTAGTTGTTTTTAGTTGTTTTTCTTTTCTCTCTCAACCTCCCTCACACCATCTCAATTACGGTCATGTTTATCTGCTCAACGATTATGTGATTTGAAAATAAATAAAAATGTTTTTTTTTGTTTTTGCATTTACGTTCTCTATATCAATTCCTCTCATTCTCTCACTCTCTCTACCTATCTTTTCCCTCAATCTCTCTCATTCTCTTTCTTGGTTGATCTCTCCTTCTCCCTTAATTTTATCGTTCTCCTTCAATTTCTCTCCTACTCCCTCTCTCGTTTGTTTTATTTTCTTACACACTTATATGGTATTAATCAGATCGTATAAAAGAACATGAGACCAACTTGGTAATGGGTTAGTCCATGTTGCCACGACTAAATAATAAAATTAAAAAATAGATAAAATAAAAAAATAGAAATTAAAAAAATTGGGAACATTTTTAACATACATATTAAACAATATTAAGTATGATAAACAAGAAATATTTTTTTAATGATGGAAATGGAATATAAAATTTAAAACCAATTGGAAATAAAAATATTTTCCTATTCTCTCTCATTAAATCCTATATTTAAGATATATTTTTCTCATAATTAAATTCTTGTAATTAAATCTACAATATTAATTTTAATAGTATAAAAATAAATATTTTGAAAAGTAATTTGAAAACAAAACCATTTTCTTCCCTCCCGGTGGTGGGCAAGCAATTCGACCATTTGGGGTCAAATGGATTAATAAATAATATCATAATTAACTAATAGAAAATTGAAATAAATAACTATGAAATGTAAGAAGCATTTTTATTAATGATAAAAATGGAATGCCAAATTCAAATCTACCTAGAAATTAAATGATATCATAGTCAAATAATAACATTTTTAATGATAGAAAATATAAAGAATCACATAAATAAAAAATAAAAAGATAGGGAAAATTTTGGGCACATATCTAATGATAAAAAATAAAATATTGGGTACATCTCTAATATTATATTAAACAAAAATAAGTTTTATACAAAAGAAATAATTTTATCAATGACGGAAATGTAATACAAAATTTAATGTCAACCTAGAAATCAAACAATTTTTATTTTTAAATGGTGGGTTAGTGGTTTGAGTCAAATGATACCATAGACAAACAAAAATTAAGTGTGAAAAGCAAAATATATTTTATATAATGTAAACAAATATATAATTTAAAGGGAAAATTATAGTCAAAGTAGGTTGTACATTTAAAATTAGGTTGTAGGTTGGTCCAGAAACCAACAAAGCTCTGACAATCAGCTTTACATTTCAAATTATAAAAAACCCCACCATTTAAAATTAAGTGGTTGTTGCCAACATGAGACTTTTAGTCCATGTTGGACACAACAAAAAACTTATACCGAAAATAGATTTTTAGTTTTTCTCCCACTCCCTTTGTCTCTCGATCTCCCTTCCTTCTCTCTCACTCTCACAATCATCTCTTGATCTCCCTCCCTATCTTAGAATTCACTAACCAACCCTTTACTATGTAGTTTTCCTATATCCACCTTTCATAGGTAGGATCATCCTCTTCTGGTTTCTTCTTACTCCTGGTAATGTAACCCTATTTTCCTCTACTACACACATGTATCTTAATAGATTGAGGCCAGGCTAAATAATTTGTCCCATCTAACTTCACAATAGTCACAGTCCCAAAAAGATTCCCCACTGACCCCCCGTGTCTAAACCGGAATCTGTGAAATATTTGGTCTCTCCTCCAGTTTGCTCCATTGAATGAACGGATGCAAACGGAAATCAAATTAGGGTTTTACTAGGCTAGATTTACTATTCTAAGCAAAGAACAACCTTTTAACCCCCTAAAAATAGGGTTTTACAAGACCTGGTGAGATGGGGAGAAAGAGAGAAACTTCAACCGCTCCTTCCAAAGGTTCCATAATTCTATCCAACTAAAACCGCCCTTAATAGAAATCAAAAGGCTTACCTCTGATCCCCAAGCGCCTGGTCCAAACTGTCTTTATGACTTGTAATAAGATTTCTCCAGTTATCTAAGGTTTTCGAGAAAAATCTCCAAGAACCTACCTTGGGCTCCAACTAGGGATGAAAACCTCCACTAAAGCTCTCCAAAAACCCTCTCAACTAGGATGCATAAGTTGATGATTGATTAACCAATCAGTTCTCTATAGACATTGTGTATGGGCAAAGAAAAGAGAAAAAAGTTGAAAGTGAGAACCCGCTCTGATACTAAGTTTAGAAATGCACTTGTAGTAATTCATAAAATATAAGAAAAGAAAGGAAGAGAAAGGAGAAGAAAGAGGTTTCAAGAGAAGGTTGTGGAAGAAGAAGAGAAGGGAAGAGAGAAAAGAAGAGTTTGAACTTCTCTCTCTAGCCCTCCTAATCTCTTTTATTAACTTAATTCTAAAATTAAGTACAATTACTTGGATGCCCTTAATGGGGTGGCCAACAGTAATGAAATAATTGAAGAAAACAAAAGA